TCCAGGTGATGCCGTTATCTGAGGAGTAATGCAGCAGCACTCCTTCACCCGGCTGGTCTGGAGCGGGACAGGAGCTCGACGTGCTGCGACTGCCCAGCCTCAGCGTGAACTGAAGATACCTGCAGGAGAGAAAGAAACATGACCTGGGGCTTGTTTTGAAGTAGTGCTATCAGAGGAGTCCAGATGAACAATAGTATCTTTCTGACTGAAGTGATAAATAAAAGTGATAAAAATGAAAGAGTCACGATCTTTGATGCTCTCTTACACTTCTAATACCCAAGCAGTGGCACGTATATGTGTGCATATTTATGTGATTTATGAGTCCTCATAATTAAAGTAGCTCTAAAGGCATACTAAACAATGTTTTATTAAGAATGTAAAAATGCCTGTAGTTTTGTGTGAGGGGTAGGGGATAGAAAATACAGTTAGTCCAGTAGAAAAACCATTACGCCTATAGAGAGTCCCATAAAACATAAAAACAACACGTGTGTGCGTGTGTGTATACCTGGCCTGTGAACTGTCCAGGGGGGTCGTAACAATGTGTCTTCTACTGTCCCTGTTGAAGACCAGGGCTTTTCCGCTGGCCAAAACCCCACAGGCGAAGCTGACCTCTGCCCCCCGCAGTGAGGAGAAGCTGTGATAGGACGACAGCCTCACGCTGGAGAAACTCTCGGACAGAAACGCAGGGAAGGTCTGAGACGCCAGCTCACATGCCGGACCGCTGAAACCATGGCCACACCTGAAGAAATACAAAGAAACCACACATTTTCCTGAACCAGTAAGATGTTGCTGTTTTCACAGTGTAAAGAGTGTTTTGCTGCAGTTCTGACTTAAAGACGTTCATACTTGCAGCCCGTGCGTGAACAGTGTCCTCTACCGGAGCAGAAACGCAAACAGGACGGCCCGATATACACTGGAACACACAACATCAACCATATCATCATCATCGTCACTGATCATGATTTATTGGCTCAGTCTGGTGTCTAAGTGTCAAAATCACTGTCTAATCTGCTGATCACGCTCCATGGGTTTGACTATAATGTGTCGACATCTATCAGTAAATATGACCTGTATGTCTTACCATTGTCAATCGCCCACATGTTGCTGCTTCCCACAGCGGTCTGTCTCCAGCGGAAGCGAGTGCTGCCTGTGAGCGCGGAGTTGGGCAGAGGAATCGTGATCCTCGTCCAACTACAGGAACACAGAGAATAAACCACACTGTTAACAGAACAGACAACACGGATTTATGAAAGCATCCAACAGATGCAGTGACTGACCCGCTGTAGTTCTCTGAGGAGTAGATGCTGCTGTGAGGCAGATGTGATCCGGCACACAGTTCAGGAAGACACTCGGTGTGCAGGAGAGACCAGGAGCGACCATGATTTGTTGAGAACTCCAGTTTGACACTGTGAAATTCACATATGCAGGAACAGAAAAAGAGGAGACAACAATATTTAATTCACTTATTTTAAAAAGTACATGTTCTTAAACTCCTGGGATATTGATCTTAAGTTGCAGAGGGGGTTGTTAATCAGTTTCAGCTGCTTTGGTGTTAATGAAATTAACAACAGGTGCACTAGATGGGCAACAATGAGATGACCCCCAAAACCGGAATGGTTTTACAGGTGGAGGCCACTGAAATTTTTTTCCCTATTCATCTTTTCTGACTGTTTTTCACTAGTTTTGCATTTGGCTAAGGTCAGTGTCACTACGTTTAGCATGAGGCGATACCTGGACCCTACAGAGGTTGCAGAGGCAGTCCAACTCCTCCAGGATGGCACATCAATACGTGCCATTGCCAGAAGGTTTGCTGGAGACCCAACACAGTCTCAAGAGCATGGAGGAGATTCCAGGAGGCAGGCAGTTACTCTAGGAGAGCTGGACAGGGCCGTAGAAGGTCCTTAACCCATCAGCAGGACCGGTATCTGCTCCTTTGTGCAAAGGAGGAACAGGCTGAGCACTGCCAGAGCTCTACAAAATGACCTCCAGCAGGCCACTGGTGTGAATACCTCTGACCAAACAATCAGAAACAGACTTCATGAGGGTGGCCTGAGGGCCCGACGCCCTCTAGTGGGCCCTGTGCTCACAGCCCGGCACCGTGGAGCTTGACTGGCATTTGCCATTGAACACCAGAATTGGCAGGTCCGCCACTGGTGCCCTGTGCGTTTCACAGATGAGAGCAGGTTCACCCTGAGCACATGTGACAGACGTGAAAGGGTCTGGAGAAGCCGTGGAGAAGGTTATGCTGCCTGTAACATCATTCAGCATGACCGGTTTGGTGGTAGGTTAGTGATGGTCTGGGGAGGAATATCCATGGAAGAACGCAGTGGGTCCTGGGTTCCTCCTGGTGCACGACAATGCCCGGCTTCATGTGGCCAGAGAATGCAGGCAGTTCCTGGAGGATGAAGGAATTGATACCATTGAATGGCCCCCACGCTCGCCTGATCTAAATCCAATAGAACACCTCTGGGACATTATGTTTGGGTCCAGGTTGCACCTCAGACTGTCCAGGAGCTCAGTGATGCCTGGTCCAGATCTGGGAGGAAATACCCCAGGACACCATCCATCGTCTCATTAGGAGCATGTACCGACATTATCAGGCATGCATACAAGCACGTGGGGGCCATACAAACTACTGAGTACCATTTTGAGTTGCTGCAATTAAATTTCAGCAAAATGGACTAGCCTGCTGCATCATTTTTTCACTTTGACTTTTGGAGTGTCTTTGAATTCAGCCCTCTGTAGGTTGATAATTTTAATTTCCATCAAATTATGTGGCATCCTTTAATTCCTAACACATTACCCAGTCCATATTAGCATAGATGCAGCATGATATTTTTCCCCATTGAGATCTGATATGTTTTCAAAGTGTTCCTTTCATTTTTTGAGCAGTCTACTATTACTGCTGCAAACAAACACAAAGATACACAAACTAAAATTTCCACTATTCCTGCTGTTCTTGTGGCAATAGAAAGTCTATTCTATTCTATTCTATTCTATTCTATTGTATTGGCATCATTTGACTTTCCCAAATATAATTGCAAACACAAAAGATGATGTTTTGAAAGATATCTCAGTGTTGTTTTGTCCACTGTTGTTTGGACCCCAGTGTTCTTCAAAATGTCTTATTTTATGAGCAGCAGAAGAAAGAAGCCATGCAGGTTTGAATGACATGAGGGTGAGTAAGTGATGATTTTTGGGTTATCATTGTTTTCTGATCTGATCACCTGTTGGCCGGCTGGTAGGCTCCACACCCGAGGTTAATTGAGAACTGCACCAGGTGAGTGTTTGCTCCAGGCAGCACCGGAAGCAGCTGCAGGAAGTCCACAGCCCAAACATGACGGTTCGCTCCACCATGAAACTTCTGCTCTAGACAAAACTGAGTGGCTGGAGTCTGAAGTTCTGTGGGCAAACCAACCGAGACGACTGAAGGATTCTGGAAGAGAAAGCCAAGAGATGTCAAGGTGTATACAGATGGGAACATGACACAGTAAATCACAAAAGAAATAAGAGAAATAGTTGAATGATACATTCTGAACAGAACATGTCAACTGTTGAAAATGATTATGTAACCTAAATCTGACTATAGACTGTATTAGGTTTCTACCCTGTAGGCTGAGTATGGAAGTATGTCCAGAAGCACATGATCTTTCCTGCCCTCTGAACGACCAAACAGGACCACATTATTCTTGTTGGATTCTCCAGGATCGCAGTCTCCACCCCCTACATCGAACACAGAGATCAGACACTGAAAATACAGGGATCAGACACTGAACACAGATAGATCAGACACTGAACACAGAGAGATCAGACACTGAACACACAGATATCAGACACTGAACACACAGGGATCAGACACTGAAAACAGAGGGATCAGACACTGAACACAGAGAACAGACACTGAACATAGAGAGATCAGACACTGAACACAGAGAGATCAGACACTGAACACACAAAGATCAGACAATGAAAACACAGATATCAGACACTGAACACACAGGGATCAGACACTGAAAACAGAGGGATCAGACACTGAACACAGAGAACAGACACTGAACACAGATAGATCAGACACTGAACACAGAGAGATCAGACACTGAACACACAGGGATCAGACACTGAAAACAGAGGGATCAGACACTGAACACAGAGATCAGACACTGAACACACAGATATCAGACACTGAACACAGAGGGATCAGACACTGAACATAGAGAGATCAGACACTGAAAACAGAGGGATCAGACACTAAACACAGAGATCAGACACTGAACACACAGGGATCAGATACTGAACACACAGGGATCAGACACTGAATACACAGATATCAGACACTGAACACAGAGGGATCAGACACTGAACATAGAGAGATCAGACACTGAACACAGAGAGATCAGACATCGAACACACAGGGATCAGAAAATGAAAACACAGATATCAGACACTGAACACACAGGGATCAGACACTGAACACAGAGAGATCAGAAACTGAACAGAGAGAGAGATCAGACACTGAAAACACAGGGATCAGAGACTGAACACAGAGAGATCAGACACTGAACACACAGAAATCAGACCCTGAAAACACAGGGATCAGACACTGAACACACAGAGATCAGACACTGAACACAGAGATCAGACACTAAACACACAGAGATCAGACACCAAACACACAGGGATAAGACACTGAACACAGAGATCAAACACTGAAAACACAGAGATTAGACACTGAACACAGAGAGATCAGACACTGAGAACACAGAGATGAGACACTGAAAACAAAGAGATCAGAAACTGAAAACACACAGAGAGATCAGATACTGAACACAGAGATCAGACACTAAACACACAGAAATCAGACACTAAACACACAGGGATCAGACACTGAACACAGAGATCAGACATTGAACACAGAGATCAGACATGGAACACAGAGATCAGACACTGAACACACAGAGATCATACACCAAACACACAGGGATCAGACACTGAACACAGAGATCAGACACTGAACACACAGAGATCAGACACTGAACACAAAGGTATCAGACACTGAACACAGAGATCAGACACTGAACACACAGAGATCAAACACTGAACGCACAGAGATCAGACACTGAACACACAGAGAGCAGACACTGAACACACAGAGATCAGACACTGAAAACACAGAGATCAGACACTGAACACACAGGGATCAGACACTGAAAACACAGAGATCAGACACTGAAAACACAGAGAAACTGAACACACAGAGATCAGACACTGAACACAGAGATCAGACACTGAACACAGAGAAGAGACACTGAACACAGATAAAGCAGACACTGAACACACAGGGATCAGACATTGAAAAGAGAGATCAGACACAAAACACACAGTGATCAGACACTGAACACACAGAGATCAGACGCTGAACACAGAGAACAGACACTGAACACAGATAAAGCAGACACTGAACACACAGGGATCAGACATTGAAAAGAGAGATCAGACACAAAACACACAGTGATCAGACACTGAACACACAGAGATCAGACGCTGAACACAGAGAACAGACACTGAACACAGATAAAGCAGACACTGAACACACAGGGATCAGACATTGAAAAGAGAGATCAGACACAAAACACACAGTGATTAGACACTGAACACACAGAGATCAGACACTGAACACAGAGAAATCAGACACTGAACACAGATAAATCAGACACTGAACACACAGAGATCAGACACTGAAAACAAAGATGAGACACTGAACACAGAGATCATACATTGAACACACATCAGTATCAACATAATGTGCACGTAAAAGTGTAAGTCATACCCATGGTGAAGTGGAAGCGCAGGTTTCCGTAGGCGGTGGTGTTGAGGTACGGTGTGCACACCTTCCTCTGTCCATCTTTGAGAAAGACGAGTGCAGATCCAGACTCCACCTCTCCACACTGAACTCCATTCACTGCTCCATCAACCTCCCATCTACAGGCCACACACAGCACTTACAATCACACCTCCTTACATATAATTCTCTGTTCTTCAAGAAACTGTTGCTACACTTAACAGCATCTGATCGTAACCTGTTAGTAACCCAAATGTTTGCTTTTGGATATCAAATTTGTCTAGAGAGCTCCAAGATATCAAAACTGAAATGTCAACACCTCAATGTATCACCAGTATGTTTGTCTACTGACTGACCTAACTACTGTTAAAATACTATTTCACAAAAGCAATCCACTAGCACGAATCCCAATCTTATCTGCTGGCAGTTGTAAGACGCACCCACTCAGTGGACTCTCAAAGTCTTCCTCCCAGTAGCTGCGTCCCTCTTCACGGTGCAGGTCCACGTCTCGTGTGGAGGCGAAACTGTGCTCGAATCCCTCTCCGCCATGAAAGTACAAGGAGTTTCCCTCTGACTGACAAGCATGCTATTGAATGAATCGAGAGGAAGGATTACAGTGCTACAGATGTTTCTGACAAAACTGAAATCTCCATGTTGCATGAATGCAGGGCAGATGGAGAAGACATTAAAGACAGCCTCTGCCTTGGGCCATTTATGGGGAACAGACCTGTCTGCTAGTGTGGGCTGGAAAACACTCGAAGGGCTGCTGTAAGAAATGACCCTGTCAAAGCTGCGGCCTTGTGTTCTGACCTCTCATATTAGCGATTTACTTTGCGACATTAAACCATAAACTGAACTCTCCAAGGAAAGCGTTCATAAATCATACCTCATGAAAAAGAAGTGTGCTTGATTGTACTGAATTTGCGCATGTAGTGCTCAAATCTTAAATGCATATTTTTAAATGAATTGTTCTGGCAGACAATATAATATCAATGAAATAAAAGGCCATTTAAGTGACTTAAAGATAAACACTTTAAAGACTGAATTTCTTAACACAGTTGTCAAATTAAACATTTTACTTTAAAGTACATTTTAAACCATTATGCTTTAACCATCTTCTTTTAATCAACATATTTTATGTTCTCATGTTTTAAAGAAGTACACTTATTTTGATGTGTTGACTAACATACTAAAGCATATGTAAAGTACTAGATTATAATTTTAACTGTAGTGTGTTATTCAAGATTATATGTATAGTTAATATATTTTAAATGAACTAAATTGCAAATGTGTAATTAAAGATATATTTAAATATATCACTCAAGTTTGAATAGACATGTATTAAAGTATATATTAGTTTATCATAAATGCTTGTCAGCACATTCAGCAGTAACTTTAACCATACTTCAAAGACAAGATAAGTAATTTAGAGAAGCACTCTAAAGTTCAACTAATTGCATTTAATATAAATTAAGTCTATAACACATTTTGGTTTTATTGCAGTTAACATGCAATTAAGCATCAGAAAACATTACATTCAGTTCACACTTAAGTATATTATTAAAAAGTACATTATTTTCATAATAAGCACTCGTTTTGAGCTTCTTCACATGGGATGGTTTCTAGTTTGCTGGATGACACTATTTGGTCATGCACCTTTACTGTGGCTCCAGGGAAGAAGAGCCAGTTGGCCGTGTCCAGAGGGTCCAGGCTGTCCTCCAGCAGCGGGGGCCGGTTGGCCGTGTTTAGCACCAGTATGTTATCGAGGCCCCAGCAGGACTCATAACCATCGGGCCCCACGGGTGGCTCCTGACTCCAGCGCAGATGAATGGCCTCCCCTTTACAGCCCGGAGGCACTGGCAGGAGATGAACCACTGTGCTGCTGTTAGTGGGAGCCCTGCCAGATCAAATACATACGATAAAAACACTGGAGAACTGAACATACATGAGCTCAAACTCATTCAGATGTATGCAACCTTAAATTATGAGTTTTTATGGCACAAAATCCACGTACTGCTCATGGCGTTTTTACATAATGGTAACAGTAATACTGTGAGTGTGTGGGAGCCATTTTCTAAAATAAAGTAAAACCTGATCTTTTCCAAGGTGATCCAGTCATCAGAGGAGTTCAGACCACAGGAGATGATGATACTGGGGTCCGAGTAACTGAACCGACAAGATCCAGATCCTGAACAACAAACGCACACACAAGAACGTCACACATTAGAATGGATTCACTTGACTTAATAACTTCATACAGAAAAATACATACAGCTAAATGTGATTTGCTAAGTATTTCAGTAAAAATTTCTAAGCATTCTTAAATCAAGATACATTCACTTGAGATGCAATATGACATAAGAAGACTTGTTTTCTGAAAAAATTACATTGTAAAAAATGTACAAAATGGTACATTTTTTCAGACAAGTCTTAATATCTTAAGTCATTTTGCATCTCAAATAAATGTATCTTGATTTAAGAATGTTTAGATATTTTTATGGGAAAACAAGACAAAAATGCATCATTCTTTTGCAAAGTATTCAGCTGTAAACCAGTCGTCTATGGCTGCAGGAGCTGAAGAATCATGAGCTACAGTAACCGCAGAAGACAGTGACACTCACCAAAGGCAAACTGCAGGACTGATGCGGTGCTCGTGTTCAGAGCCACTGTCGTCTAAAAGAGACGATAAAACCATGAGCTTCTCATTTCTATTCACAGATCTGCTTTATTCACACAGGAATAATGTGAACACAGCATACGAGACACGGCGCTGCAAAGCTACACAGCGTCCACACCACCAGTCTTTAATGTGTGTGTGTGTGTTTTATTTTCTTGTGTAATAATTTAGTTTTATAGTCCACTTTAGTCATTCTACTAACTATCAGTAACTTTGCAGTTCCATGTCAACTAGCAGTCATTCGAGGATTAGTGATTGTCTGCTTAATATCTATATCTAATCTTAATATCTATCTATCTAATAATAACTTTATTTTGATGGACATTCTACTGACTATAAGTCACTCTGAGGAGTTTGGCAGGAGTTTTGTATGGACAGAAGTGCATCTATTTGTTTGAGAAGCACAGCTCACTGCCTGATGCTGTTTGTCAACACCCAGACCTTCAGGGCAAAATGTGCTGTTTTTCACTTGATTACATCTGTTCTGTAAACAATTACCAGTTCTCTCTGTCCAAAGGGCTCACAAAACGTCACTGCTTTTCCATGCATCAGCGCACCACACTGCTCTCCAACCTCACAGTTACTGCAGTCTGACCTGCGAGAGAACCAGCCATGGACAATAAACACATCTTCTAGCTCTCTATATGGCATCAATGCAAGCTATTATATAGGAAATGAAAACAGCTTCACTGCCAAGTAAACAAGCCAAAGAAAGACGAGTGTTACTCACCAGATATTGAGATTAAGCTCTTCTTGTGTGTTGTGTTCAAAGTCATCCCGGAGAACAGCATGATCACCATGAACCACAGCTTTACATCAGCGACAGATACCGAGGACAGACACAGAGACAGGAGCACAGTGAGGAGCAGTGAGGAGTAACGTCAGCACACGTGTGTCTGCTGATGCTTTTACTCACCTAGACTGGGCCGAAGAGGAGATTCAGTGGGAGCTTAAAGAGACAAAACAAAAACATCCTTTACATGGAACATTTCTAATTAAAGACTTGCAAATATAAAAAGATACAAGGAGAAATATTGGTAAGGATCATTTTAATAAATATACAGTACATGGAGTGAACATTCAATCCCTTTGTAATTAATACAAAGAAGCCTGCAAACATTAAATGACTTCATAATGGAGATTTTGGAATGTTATGTTTCTCAATCACTGATCGGTCAAACATTTTTCTCCATGACAGTAGCTGTGCATTTGACATTTGTGTGTCTTGTATAGCTCTATCTCTTGTTCTCTTTCATTCTGCAAGTCAGAAGAACTAATTGGCATGATCCTGGAGGACTTTAGTATTATTATTATTATTTAGCACTGATTTTACAGTGATCTTAAAGCTTGTAATCGATGGCCGGAAGCTGAGGAGAACACCGATGACCGTCAGGGTCCTGATCTCACTGTCAGGGTTTATTTTGCCAAAATGACTCTAATGATCAGTGTCTCACGGCTCTATATTAAGGGTAACGGTTTTCTCTGTACTTCATCTAAAAACTAGGACAATGTCACTCCCATGAGTCTTCACCTCCTACTTCAACAAAATATTACTAATGTAGGAGCATTTAACACTCCTACCTCTCTCCGTCTGTGGTGTCTGGATCCTGTGACAAAACTATAAAAAAATCTAGTACAGCCTGCTGTGGACATTTTTAGATGGAGAATGAAATGTTTTCTTTAATAAAGGTCATTGAGGAATAATTCCTTTGATTCTTTTATTAATTTGATCAATTCCTGTTTGAATGTTTTTGAAAGTTCTGTGCTTTGTTGCAACCCCAAAACCACACTGTAATCCATACAGACAAATACCATTTCAGTACAAACTCCCATCCAGCAGTAAAACCCAAACCTTAAAGTACTGAGTCTAATCACATGAGCCGTATACTGATCTAAAACAGCTGTTGCTCCAGACTGTTTTCATGAAATAATTGAATGAATAGGTCAGTTGAATGAATGAACTGAATGGGTTTTGTGGCTGAATTACTTTGACAGACTCTTGCTCCAGTGTCTATTTGGGACTGAGATCATGACTACTTATTCTTAAACCAAAAATTTATGCTGAATTGAATGAACCCCTGGTCAAAAACGCCATTATTTCTGACAGTACTTTTATGCAAAATACTGGACATTAAATCATACATATTCATCACACAGTTATTCATGATTTTCCCTACACATCATCCTCTTGCTCACCAGAATCCGCTTACACCCTTCAGAAGCTGCTGACGGCTAACCACCATCTTATTATCTCACATGAACAAAAGCCTGCTACTTTAATCAATGTTTGGTTCTGAAGATCATTACAACCACAGTGATTTAAATGTATGAAAGGACCCAACACAAAAGGTTTGATTCGACTAGACAGTGTATGGATGTTATTCTCTAATGCCAACAGGTGTGATGAATGATTAACTCTTATTTATATATGTTATAGGTGTTACTATTTGTTATTTCACAGATGAAATGAAACATCATAACAAATTATTTTATAACTTTAACTCTCTAGAGAACATTGCAGGCTCTCTTTAATCTCACAGTTCAGTCTTTCCTTATCTAAAGCCTCTGACACGTCTAGCTATAATTAACCACATTAAACCTTACACTCAGAAACCTTCATCTTCTCTGGAAAAACCTTTTTATCTTCTAAACTGTACCGATATACCAAAAATCATATAGTCAATCTTTCCCTCAATAACCTCAGATAATCTTTTCCCAAAATCCATCACATTATAATGATAAAGCAGCTGTGCTCTATTTCATTTGCTGACCTATTTCTTTCAGAACTCACACACACACTGTGAAAGTCTCCTGAGTGAATGTGACTGTGAATATAATGGTTGAGTTCTGAATGTAATTGCAGTTTCCAATCAAACGTCCACTGGGTGGCGCTACTGCGACTGTTACTCCCATTCAGACAAATCAAGTTCACAGAGGAAGGTTATAAGTTACTTATGCTCTGGAATATAGTTTGCAATTTAGCTGAGCCAATGCAAATATTTGTTAAATAAGTCACGCATGGTTTTTCTGCATCGATGCAAAAGTCATGGGTTCAAATCCCAGAAATCAGACTGAAAGATTCATTCAGCACACAGACTGGACATTCAGAGCCTCCAATGCTTCAGAAAGTCTGATCTTTATAATCAGATTTAACATCCAAACCGGGTGAGCTGATTTAAAAGTCAACAGAACATAATTTGGATATTTATTCAGCTTGTGTGTATTTAAGTCGCATCCGTATTGGCCTGTAGTAGGAAGGACAAACTGTGATTTTGGAAAACCGTTTGCAGAGCGTTTCTCATGAGATCAGGCTGGAAACTAAACAGAAACAATGTTTTGTTGACTTGTGTACTATGAATGCTGGGTAACGGGAGTGATGGCTCTGGCTTTCCTCATTGTCCTCCTCTGTAGCAGTAAAACCTTATCAAGTGTTTGGATGAAGAGACAGATTTTACCAGCAGTCGTGGTGAATGTTCACTTTTATCACACTGACACTGTTTACTAACATGTCAAACAGACCTTCCACTGAACGAACACACACACACAATTCATTTCTTTACTTCCAAGATCGATACTACTGTATCAGAGAGAAAATTATAACCATACAGCAAGCAGCTACAGTATCGTATCGGATATACTATTCTCTGCTATAGGAGAGGAAGAATTGTATACAGTATATATATATATATATATATATATATATATATATATATATATATTTTTATTTTGTGGCTGAATTACTTTGACAGACTCTTGCTCCAGTGTCTATTTGGGACTGAGATCATGACTACTTATTCTTAAACCAAAAATTTATGCTGAATTGAATGAACCCCTGGTCAAAAACGCCATTATTTCTGACAGTACTTTTATGCAAAATACTGGACATTAAATCATACATATTCATCACACAGTTATTCATGATTTTCCCTACACATCATCCTCTTGCTCACCAGAATCCGCTTACACCCTTCAGAAGCTGCTGACGGCTAACCACCATCTTATTATCTCACATGAACAAAAGCCTGCTACTTTAATCAATGTTTGGTTCTGAAGATCATTACAACCACAGTGATTTAAATGTATGAAAGGACCCAACACAAAAGGTTTGATTCGACTAGACAGTGTATGGATGTTATTCTCTAATGCCAACAGGTGTGATGAATGATTAACTCTTATTTATATATGTTATAGGTGTTACTATTTGTTATTTCACAGATGAAATGAAACATCATAACAAATTATTTTATAACTTTAACTCTCTAGAGAACATTGCAGGCTCTCTTTAATCTCACAGTTCAGTCTTTCCTTATCTAAAGCCTCTGACACGTCTAGCTATAATTAACCACATTAAACCTTACACTCAGAAACCTTCATCTTCTCTGGAAAAACCTTTTTATCTTCTAAACTGTACCGATATACCAAAAATCATATAGTCAATCTTTCCCTCAATAACCTCAGATAATCTTTTCCCAAAATCCATCACATTATAATGATAAAGCAGCTGTGCTCTATTTCATTTGCTGACCTATTTCTTTCAGAACTCACACACACACTGTGAAAGTCTCCTGAGTGAATGTGACTGTGAATATAATGGTTGAGTTCTGAATGTAATTGCAGTTTCCAATCAAACGTCCACTGGGTGGCGCTACTGCGACTGTTACTCCCATTCAGACAAATCAAGTTCACAGAGGAAGGTTATAAGTTACTTATGCTCTGGAATATAGTTTGCAATTTAGCTGAGCCAATGCAAATATTTGTTAAATAAGTCACGCATGGTTTTTCTGCATCGATGCAAAAGTCATGGGTTCAAATCCCAGAAATCAGACTGAAAGATTCATTCAGCACACAGACTGGACATTCAGAGCCTCCAATGCTTCAGAAAGTCTGATCTTTATAATCAGATTTAACATCCAAACCGGGTGAGCTGATTTAAAAGTAAACAGAACATAATTTGGATATTTATTCAGCTTGTGTGTATTTAAGTCGCATCCGTATTGGCCTGTAGTAGGAAGGACAAACTGTGATTTTGGAAAACCGTTTGCAGAGCGTTTCTCATGAGATAAGGCTGGAAACTAAACAGAAACAATGTTTTGTTGACTTGTGTACTATGAATGCTGGGTAACGGGAGTGATGGCTCTGGCTTTCCTCATTGTCCTCCTCTGTAGCAGTAAAACCTTATCAAGTGTTTGGATGAAGAGACAGATTTTACCAGCAGTCGTGGTGAATGTTCACTTGATCTAAATCAACAACATGTACAGTATATTATGAATTTGTCAATGTCATTAGGATATGTCCCAGAAACCATCAAACTGGCGGTTTTTAAGCCTCTCATTTAAAAAAACACAACTTGATCCTAGACAACTGGTTAATTACAGACCGATCTCAAATCTTCCTATTCTGTCAAAAATACTAGGCAGTATCTTCACAACTACAACTGTTCCCTCTTAGAGAAAAATGGTATCTGTGAGGATTTCCAGTCAGGATTTAGACCGTATCATAGTACTGAGACTGCTCTCATTAGAGTTACAAATGACCTGCTCTTATCATCCGATCGTGGCTGTATTTCTCTATTAGTGCTACTCGATCTATCGACACTATCAACCCCAACATTATGTTGGCATTAGTGGAATTGCATTGGCATCATTCAAATCTTACTTATCTGACCGTCATCAATTCGCAACAGTGAATGAAGAAGTATCATATCGATCACAAGTGCAGTATGGAGTACCTCAAGGCTCAGTACTAGGACCATTGCTTTTCACGTTTTACATGTTACCTGTGGGAGATATCATCAGGAAACATGGTATTAGCTTTCACTGGTATGCTGATGATACTCAGCTCCATATTTCTTCACGGCCCGACAAAACATACCAATTTGAAAAACTAATGGAATGCATAGTTGATATAAAAAAAATCTGGATGGCTAGTAATGTCCTACTGCTAACAAAAAACAGAGGTGTTAATTATTTGACCAAAAAATCCACATGTAATAACCTAGAACACTGTCTAACACTTGATGGCTGCTCTGTCAATTCTTCGTCATCAGTTAGGAACCTATGTGTGCTGTCTGATAGCAATCTTTCCTTTGAAAGCCACGTTTCATTTGTAAAACTGAATTTTTCTATCTTACAAATATATCTAAATTACGAGCTATGCTCTCAATGTCAAATGCAGAAATGTTAAATCATGCGTTCATGACCTCAAGGTTAGATTATTGTAATGCTTTATTGGGTGGTTGCTCTGCACGCTTAATAAACAAACTCCAGCGGGTCCAAAATGCAGCAGCTAGAGTTCTTACTAGAACCAGGAAGTATGACCATATTAGCCCGGTTCTGTCAACACTGCACTGGCTACCTATTAAACATTGTATACATTTAAAAATATTCCTGATTACTTTTAAAGCCCTGGTTTAGCACCTCAGTATTTGAATGAGCTCTTATCGCATTACAGTCCTTCTCGTCCGCTGTGTTCTCAAAACTCTGGCAATTTGTTAATGCCTAGAATAACAAAATCAACTGCGGGCAGCAGATCCTTTTCCTATTTAGTGCCCAGACTCTGGAAAAATCTACCTAGTGTTGTTCGGGAGGCAGACACGCTCTGTCAGTTTAAATCTAGATTAAAGATCCATGTATTTAACCTGGTTTACACATACTGTAACACACTTGTTACATTGTTAGAAGAATGGCATCTACTGTACACTATTATTAGTCTGTTTCATTTTTATTCCGCGGTCACCGTAGCCACCAGATCCAGTCTGTATCCAGATCAGATGGTGGACCAGCACCTAGAGATGACCTCTACAGCCCTGAATGTCAGCGGAGACCAGGACAACTAGATGAGCCCTAGAGACAGCTCTCCTCTGAAGACCTCATCACCTAGACGGCCATTGGCACAAATCCTCAGCAAAGACCACAAGAACCAGACGAGTCCTTTGCACAGACTGGCTTCGGCTCCTTCACCATGCGATGTTCCACGTGGAGGGAACTAGATGGATGTTCCGAGTGATGCCAGTTCACAATCTGACTTTGCTGCAGCCTGGAATTAAACTGCTGGTTTCGTCTGGCCAGAGGAAAACTGGTCGCCCGACTGAATCTGGTTTCTCCCAAGGTTTTCTTCTTCATTTCTGTCACCGATGGAGTTTTGGTTCCTTGCCACTCTTGCCTTTGGCTTGCTTAGTTAGCGACACTTAATATCTGTCAGTATCATGGCCTTGATTGCACAGACCAGAGGCAAGGCAAGTTTGGTCTAAACTCTGTAGGACAGCGGCTCTCCAGGACCGAACCTGCCTACCCCTGGCACAGACACTATTGGAAGAGAACTGAACTGAGCTGTACGATGACATCACTGAATCAACTATGAACTGACTTAAACGGGAAAACTGACTAGTTACTATTGTCCTCTTTTTAGAGCTTCTATTGCAGAATTACATTTTATTTGCGTTATTGACACACTATTTTCCTGTTTAACACTGTAAACATGCTTTGACACCCTCTGTTTTGTGTAAAGTGCTATATAAATAAAGGTAATGTGACACACGCACACACATGATCTTTGTCTGTGGAGTTCTGCTCTCGTTCTCTGCCGTTCATTCGTCGACCTCTTCTTCTGTCTACATCAGGCGTTCACACAGCAGACAGTCACACTCGTTTCAGGCTTAGTTTAATCCTCGATCGCTTTCTTAAGAACTTTAATTACCTCCGGCGCTCTTCCTGTAGATCTGTGCTAATGCGACCGGCTTACACTGACAGTTTAACAGCCCCGCGCTTCCCATGAGCCTCGGCTGCAGATTTGGAGCGGGCCGGTTCATTCTCCAACTTCTCTAATGCAAAGTTGGACATTCAGATGAAAGTTGGCACTCGGTGTTATTAAGTGGTGCGAGCGCTTGCGTTTGGGTGTCTGAGGCGCAGGACATTATTTTCCAGCGACACATCTTTCATCTTTAGCGCGTCTCTCCATCTAGAGGCCGCGTGTCTGCTGTCGTATATCTGCTCTGCTTCTGATCGTCCTCCTCTCCTCTGCCCAAAACTGATCGCCCCCCGTGAGTTATAGTCACTTTTCGATAATCAATCCTCAGGGATACGAGTCCAGCGTGTCCCATAAAGCACTAATTTATGGAGCTGCTGGAAATTGCAGCGTTCTCTGGTCGCCTTTCCTCATCCCGACCTGTCACAGATATCACTCTTTGATATACTAGCGTCATCTGCAGCTCTCTCTCTCTCTCAGGGAAGTTCTGCAGCTCTTAAAGTCTCTTTTTAGCATACCTTTATGTGTTTATCTGTGGATACATGCTGTCATTTGTCTATTCATTCCAGCTAGTCTTCTGGCTCGTTTCACTTTCATACACTTGGTGATTTTTCTCTCTCTGCAAGGAAACTAATGGTAAACAGTGGGTAATAAAATGCAACAGTCTGGTTTCAGAGGTACAAATCCATTCATTTTCTACATAACAATAACATATAAAGCTTTCAGCACAGACCTACTCTGAGCTCAGAATCTGTTAAATGATGAAATATACTTCTGGTTATGAGAGTTTTAACTTTACAATATGCTGCGTTCAACACTCAACACTAAAATCCATCAGTCAGAATCACTAGTACCACAGAAATCACTGTCACCAATCTGAATATAAACCACTGCAAATGAGTCTCTCTAAACTCTTAAACTACTTACATATTTGCATTTGATTCACACTATCCACAATAAAACTGCTGCCATCCCTATTGCTTTTATAAAAACAATTACCACATAATAAAAACACAAGTACCCTTGTGAAAAAGAAGTGTGGGTAACACTTAATTTTACAATTTCCTTGTTACACATGTTGCATGTTCTTATTATAGTAATAACAGTAAATTATGCATAATTACATGCAACTAACTCTAAACCAAACTTTAATCCTAACCATAAAGTATGTACGGTACATGTTAAAGATAAAATAGTACTCACTATTAATGGTGTAATTACACTGTAATAAAGTGTAACCTGGTATTGAATGTGCACTTGCAGTGTACATTCAATCTTAAAAGTATTTATTTTAAAAAAAAATGTATTGCAGATAATATAAATGAAATAAAAGGCCACTTAATTGACTTAATTGTTTCTTACCACACTTAAGTCTACTTTTAAAAAGTCCACTTTGTAATAATGTCAAATTCATCCAAATAAGCACTCTGAAGTTTAACTATTTGCATTTAATAAAAATGTTAACTGTATAATATGTTTTCAGTAAGTGTCCAAAAAAAACAGTACATTAAGTTCACACTTAAGCAAATTATTTTATTTCCATAATGAACACTCTTTTTTCAAAAGTGCATTTCTTTTTCATAAGGGCAGCCACACAAATCTTCATAAAATAATCTGAATCATCAGGTTAATGACGAGTCTTTCTTCCAGCAGAACATCTATGTAAACTAAGGTCAATGTCTGCTCTATGTAGTGCTGTACAGTGACATATAGACGAGTGTTTCAGCTCACTAACTAATACTGGTGTATTTTAGCATGACTGAAACTCTCTACTGACAAATCTGTATTGAATTTTCCCTTGTACCATTGTGTTTTCGCAAATTTCTAAATACCCTTTCTTGCTTTGAATGTTGCTGTGTTATTCATCTCAGAGCTGATTTTGTCTTATTGCTCTCTAGAGGCCACAGCACTGCTGAAATACGCTCTATTCACTGATTGTAGTCTCGCTAACCCTTAACCCCACATCTGCACATGCCGCTTTGAAACATTATCAGCCAGTCAAATGTCTGCGCCGTGCTCGCTCACTTTCTTAAAGCTTCAGCGGCTCTCAGTCTCAGATCTTCTCTTGAGCCGTGTGTTAATCTGCTCATGTCTCATCACTGACGGAGATTCGCCTCATTTCTCTATTTCACGTCTTCAGTCCTGCTGGGATATTTATAATTCCTTTAACCACTCAAAGCTTTAAGCCCTTCAAACTTGAAATGGACTTCTTTAAAATCTTTATGTGTAAGTGCTGGAAAAACTTTCATGCCCTTATATTGTGTGTTATTCAGTAGAGTGCGTTCAGGTTGAACGTTTGCATCAATTGTCTTTGCACACACATATGAAGAGATTTTAGTTTTTTAGTAAGTATTCAGATTTTAGTAAGAATGCATATGTTCTTATGGTTTGGCAAATAGACCGTCAGGTGAGTACAACATTCATACTATTCAACCTTTACTGTTAATGTATAGGAATGCCTGTGTGTTCTGTCATTTGATGTGCTGCACATGCTGAAGATCAGACTGTGTGTATATTTAGTTTCTCTGTCATTTCTCTAACACCCATCTGAAGTTTACGGATCAGAGATGCTCCTCACCTCCCTGCTCACAGAGCTGCTGCGCCAGAGCGTCCTTGAAGATGATCTGTCCTCGGTGCGTCGCTGTGGCCCTGAGGGACAACAGACCGAGAGAAAGAGAGAAATATTACAGAGCGTCAGCCAGCAGAAGGAGAGGAGAGCGATAACCTGCCCATTACCTAAAAGAAGATGAAGTGTTTCTGCTGGAAGTGGATAAAAATTCTGGAGGAGAACTGAAATCTGGCTGTAGGTCTTCATGTCAGAGACAGCAATTAGAGGTCAAGAGGTCAGGAGGAGGATGAGGCTTTATGAGCTGTTAGGAGCCTCTTTATAGACAGCAGTCTCATTGCATCGGCGTAAACCGGGGTACGGGATCGATTTATACTTACGCCTCAAACCTACAGCGCAGACTCACAAAAATATGTTCTAAAATATGTTGGAACATTTTGATAATGTTCCCATTAAGTTATGAAAACTTTATTTCTGAATGTTCTCTGAATATTCAAAACATCCAGTTTTTTAAATATAAAGTTCTGTCATGAAACTCTAGATGGCGCAGTCCAATAGGTCAAACTCAATCTGACGTAATAATATCATTATCACATGGCGCAGCTGATTGGTTCTTTTTGTATCAGCAGCCAATGAGCTCGCTGCTCAACATTCAAATCCTTCACTAGAGCTTGCTGTAGCAGTTGCAGCGCGCTTCAGAAACCCTCCACCTTCCCCAGCTCCACCTGTATAGATCTGCTATGGGGTGATTCATGTATGCTACATGGGGGTTATTTCATATATGTTATATGTGCAGCAGCAGTATTTCTTTCATGCTCACAGCAGCATGTTGTGGATGTATTAGCGAGTCTCAGTACTTGCTCTGCCGCAGCAGATCCATTCCACCAAGACCAAATACATCAACATTGTCATGTACATTACCATGCCAATCCCTCCGAAAGTTGTCATGACACAAATGTTTTTAAGGAGTTTTATTGGTTATATGAATGTAACAGGAACAACCATTTTTTTAATTCAACGTTTTGTGAATGTTACAACTGAATGTTCTGAAACCAATAGTAACATAAATTACTTAGCGTCCAACAAAAATATTTCAGAAATAAAATGATCCATGGACAATGTATAAATAATGCTTTTGTGCTGACGTTTTGAGAGCATTATTAAAGGCTAGAAAACTCTCCCTCAAAAAAAAATTAAAAAGGTTCTAAGTTTTGCTAATGTTTCACTAAGTTATGAAAACATTCTGATCGTTCGCTGCCTGCCCTGACCTTCACCTGTTTTGGGATTTTCCTTTTGGATTACCTTGTTTGCTACTGTTTGCTGGTACTGTACTTTTTAATATTTTTTTAATTAAAGCCTGTATTTGGATCCACATCTCTGTTGTCACGACTCTCTATGTTACATTTTTTTGTATTTACAGCTCAAACAAAAAGCTTCTTTGAGTTTTTATGGAAAGTGTGTGAAAATGGTGATATAAGCATATAAAGCAAAATACAAAGAGAGACTAATAGATCTGATTGATTTCATTCATCGCTTGATGGCCTGTTTTATTTCAAGTTTACTTTCAAACAGTGAGGGGGGGGGGAATCACAAAAGCATTTAACTTTCCAAAGCTTCCAAAGTTCCCAGCCAATACTTTTGGTCAGAATATACAGTATTCTCCTGTGTCTGGTGTTGATTCCTTCACCTTTGTGTTCGTCACCAGTCTTTTCATTTTATTAAAGAATGAATAATTTGTAACAGAAGCTTAAGCGGAGCATGTGGATATAATTCAGCCATAGCGGAGTGTATTAATAGCAGCTCTCGTGACCCGCGTGTCCACACACACACACACAGACACACACACCCGCTGTGGGCTTTCACAGCCTCCTCGCTCAACATCTCACCTCATCTCAGATAAAGACCTGCAGCAGCTCCTACAGTTCAGTCTTCTGTGTTCTGTGACCTTCGGCTCAGCTCTACAGCATTCGCTGATGGAGGTTTTGTGCTGCTTTCCTTCCTTTTAGAGACATGAATAGCTGTTTGCTTTAGAGCTGCACAGGTCGTCCTGTAGCTCCATTAACCACATGTAAGACCGCTGGTGATCTGCTGTTTGCCACAGAACCTGGTTTTAGACTTTTACATTTCATCATTTCACAGATGCCTTCCTCCATTTATTGATGAATACACTTTTAATATTACTGTTACACAGAGAGTCTTACTGAGAGCAAGAGGATCATGCAGCTGCATTTAACGGAGAAAAACACTAAAATCCAAGAACAAAGCCTGATAAAAACCAAAGTAAATGTGAGGGCTAAAATACAGGAGGACTAATGTGACACAGCTGAAAACAAATTGAGAAAGGCTGTGTCTGAAATCTAAGACAGCTGCCTTCGGGCTCTGGTTTATAAAGATCCTCCTCATAATACTGCTTTCAGACTCTATCACATCCTTATGTCTAATGATCAAGAGCAATTTCATATAAGCTTTAGCTTACTGACTTCCAATGCTTGTGATTCCACATCCAGCATAAAATGTTACATAATTACATATTAAGTTGTTGTTGTTCTTTCAACTGAAACAGATGACGGCACCTTAATAGACAGCATGTCATGCAGTTTTTGTATTCTGGATGCTCTTCTACCTCCATACTACCTGTGAAGACCTGTTTTCTAACCCCAGTGTAGATGATGTGTCATGTTCTTAAATGTATTCAATAAATGCCATTAGAATAATAGTTCGATCTTGCAGAAAACTGCTTGATCTTGCAGATTTGCATTGCACAACATCAGAAAGATCAGGCCCTTTCTAACGGAGCATGCTGCACAACTTCTTGTCCAGGCCCTTGTCATCTCTAGGCTGGACTACTGCAATGCTCTTCTGGCTGGACTCCTATCAAGCACAATCAAACCTCTACAAATGATTCAGAATGCAGCGGCACGACTGATCTTCAACGAGCCCAAAAGAGCCCATGTTACACCTCTCTTTATCTCCTTGCACTGGCTACCGGTTTCGGCTCACATCAAGTTAGAGACACTGATGCTTGCATATAGAACAGCCACAGGCTCAGCACCCGCCTACTTCCACTCACTACTACGAATCTACATCCCCTCCAGAAGTCTGAGATCCACTAGTGAGCGACGCCTCGTGGTACCATCACAGAGAGGCTCAAAATCACTTTCCAGAACATTCTCGTTCACTGTTCCTGGCTGCTGGAACGATCTTCCCACCCCTATCCGGAATGCTGAATCCCTGACAATTTTCAAGCGACAGCTGAAAACTCACCTCTTTCGTCACTATCTGACTTCATCCTAAATTTAAAAAAAAAAAAAAAACTTTGCTTGATGTATTCCCCAATTGTAAGCAGAGCATGTGACCGGAGTGGTAATATTTCCTTAAGAGTGCAGAGCGCCTTTCTGAAGATTCCGCTCCGCTCGCTCAAAATAAGTCGCTTTGGATAAAACGTCTGCTAAATAAATAAATGTAAATGCATGTAAATGTAAATAATAAGACTCTACAGGGCTGAAACCAATCAAATGAAATTGATAACAACAAAATCCATCTCTGCACTGCAGAAGTGGCACTGATGCTGCACCTGAAGTGGCATTTAGATGTATTTACACTAGGGCTGTCATCGTTAACGCGTTAACGCATGCGATTAATTTTACAATCCTTAACGTGTTAAAATAATTTAATGCAATTAGCTCAAAATTACTGAAGCACAATTTATATTCTAACCCATTAACCCAATTTTGCTACTCTGCTTGCGATTAGATCATTTTAAGCCGCTAAACTCCAGGAAAGTTTTCAGTTGAATGATACAGTAAGTGTATGCATTCAAACAATCCATCCAAAACGGCACTAATATGAAGGAAACCAGGCTGATTACATCAGAGATTGCCGAGAGAACAGAGACTCGCGTTGCGTTTTAAGTGAATTATTAATTCCAGTGTGTTTGGCTTTAAAACACGAGCTCTGTCATATTCTGTGATCCCACATTGTATTTATGCACATTCGCGATATTGTTTTGATTTGTCATGTTTATGTTGCTGTGTTTAGTTATACTGAATGGATCCATGTACTGTAGCAGATATATGCAGTGAGCAGGCGGTTGGTTTAGGGATTTTTCTTATTATCTCCATGTGGTCCTGTTCGATATCGTAACTTGGCTTCTCTAAAATGTAAAAAAGCTCTTTGGTGTTGCACTGTACACATAGCCTACTATAAGATTTGGATTTATTTTTCTTTCATGTGCTTACATGGGCTCCTTACATCATTTGGTTCTTTGGTGTCCTTTTGGAGTTTCTAAGTGTCCTTTTTTGGAAAGACATCTACATTTATCTTGAAAAAAGCTTGCAGAAAATATAGATTTTTGAGAAACACCCTTCAATCTTTTGGTTTACTTTGCTGGATATAGCAAATAATGACAAAATAAACATTTGAAACAAGATAAATGGTCTATGCTTAATTTCATGAAGTGTGCGATTAATCACGATTAATCACAGAAAAAGGATGTGATTAATCAGATTAAAAATTTTAATCGATTGACAGCCCTAATTTACACAGACTGTGTAATGTAACTCAGAGACTGCATTTACACTGCATTTACAACTGCATATTAGATTAGTGTTTTAAATGTAAATAGATTGAATATAGAACAATGAAAGTAATACCTATACTAAAACCAATGGGTGGCAAAATCACTGTCTTAATAAGTGAATCATTAATTTACTAATTCAACCGATGCGTTAATGGCTGATTCCTTCAGGAATGAAGCAAGTGGCTTGATTTGTGAGCCACATTCTAGCATACTACTATTGATATTTATGCCATAGAAAGATAAACAGTAAGAGTAGTATACTAATATGCAGTTTAAAATTTAACAAATCTCTTTATGAATGGCTTGAAATGAATCACTGACTCACTTGATTCATTCAAAAGTACTGAATCATTCAGAAAACACCACCATGTTGATCAGAGATGCAATTATTGGTGAAATAGATCAACACAGTCCATAATGACAATATTCTGTCTAAAATATAGATCACTTAATATTAACTTGAATAGAACATTAACATGTATTTATTATATTTTTATTTCTGGGGACAGTCGTGGCGTAATGGTTAGAGAGTCGGTTGCGGGTTCGAGTCTCAGGTCCGGCAGGGATTGTAAGTGGGGGGAGTGAATAACCAGCGCTCTCTTCCACCCTCAATACCACGACTGAGGTAAGACCCTTGAGCAAGAATCGAACCCCCAGCTGCTCCAGGTGTGTGTGTGTGTGTGTGTACCCACTTGGATGGGTGAAATGCAGAGCACAAATTCCAAGTATGGGACACCACGCTTGGCCTCCTTTCCTTTCCTTATATACCATTGTATAAAAGTATAAAATAATGCTCTTAAAATGAGGATAAATGAGTGTCCGGCTCAAGCCTGCACCGGTAGATGGACATGGCATTTCAAAACCAGACCAACCCAAAACCGACCGGATGACCACCTTACAAACACTCCCACCAAACACATTAATATGCATTCATAACAAACTCATCGCAGGTTCTTACCAGTGTCCCGAGTTTAGAACTAACCCAAACCAAACACTAGAACAAGCTAATCAGCGTGTGCAGAATTACTTAAACTCTAGGAACATGACGTGCTTATAAATATTGCATTGTTTTAATTTACTATGAAATATTGCTTGTTTAAGAAAGCACATTTTGGCATGAGGTCAGCAGAAGGAGTTTTGCTGGACTGTTGTTTCAGATCCAGTCTCTGACACCGAAAGCATTTATGGTTGTGAGGCATTTATGCTTCTGCTCTCATGAATAACCAAACAACATCTCATGAATAAATAATCCGGCTCAAGCCTGCACCGGTAGATGGACATGGCATTTCAAAACCAGACCAACCCAAAAAACCGACCGGATGACCACCTTACAAACACTCCCACCAAACACATTAATATGCATTCATAAACAAACTCATCGCAGGTTCTTACCAGTGTCCCGAGTTTAGAACTAACCCAAACCAAACACTAGAACAAGCTAATCAGCGTGTGCAGAATCACTTAAACTCTAGGAACATGACGTGCTTATAAATATTGCATTGTTTTAATTTACTATGAAATATTGCTTGTTTAAGAAAGCACATTTTGGCATGAGGTCAGCAGAAGGAGTTTTGCTGGACTGTTGTTTCAGATCCAGTCTCTGACACCGAAAGCATTTATGGTTGTGAGGCATTTATGCTTCTGCTCTCATGAATAACCAAACAACATCTCATGAATAAATAATAAACTGCAAAAGGGAGAGATGTTGAAGGGGGGGAAAAAACAAAAACAACAAAATCACATTCATCTTTCAGGGCTTGGTAAAGACAAATTTGGAAATGGGATTTATGAATAAAACATCGAGCATAATGAAGAGCAGGAGGTTACGTTGGAGCAAAGCACTTCAATATTTATGAAACGAGTCCCAGACGGCTTGTTCGCTAATATGGCAACATTAGAGGAAAAACACGCAGTGATGTGCTTCATTTAATATGTTTAATGCTCTTACTCACACAAAGTCTGGTGTCAAGGAAGATAAAAATATGTGTAGTTATTTTCATACGTGTTTGGTCTGCTATAATACATTTAAAACAGCCTTGCTTACTGTATTGTAAGCAGCTTCCACTGTTAAATATCTTGAAATTCTGGAGATTAATGTTTAACACAGCTTTTGAAGTGTGTTCAAGGTTTCAGGTATGGACATAATTTCCATCTGTGATCATTAAAGATAATTTTACTTTGGCTTCAAAAGGCACATAACTTCATGTACAGAACTGACAACCAACCTCAAGGATATCTGACTGATCTGATGTTTAGTTTAATACGTCCTGCTGTATCAGCGGTCAGACTGATTCAGTGTGTTTCTCTCACAGATGACCAGCTGGCTGTGTCATGACGAGCTCTGAGGACATCATGCTTCAGTGAAGAAGAAGTTGTAGAGACAGAGAGAGACAATACTCTCCAGCACACAATAACAGCTCAAGAACAGAATCCATCAGTTCAGACTAAATGTATTTCTCTGATTGCATTATCATCGATTCTCACACAATCTACTGCCTTTCGTTTATTTGTCATGTGACACTTGTAGATTGAAGCGGTGCAATACAAAACAAGAATATAAAACATCATTTACAAACCCTCATGTCACTCCAAGCACAAATTTAGATATCTGCCATAAAGCTGTGCCTCCATTAAAAGCCATTGTGCAATCAAAACTTTAATGCAAAACTGAAACCCAGTTCAAAAGGACATCGTAAGAGTAATTCAGATCAAATAAAACAAAATTAAATTAAATTAAATTAAGACAGAGATATTACTTATTGGACCAAAAGACAGTACACAGAATCTCGTGGATTACAATTTGCAACTAGACGGATGCACGGTTACTTCCTCTACAGTCAAAAATCTGGGTGTTATATTAGATAGCAACTTGTCTTTTGAAAATCATATTTCCCATGTTACAAAAACGGCATTCTTCCATCTTAGAAACATTGCCAAGTTACGAAACATGATACCTGTTTCTGATGCAGAAAAGCTAGTTCATGCATTCATGACCTCTAGACTGGACTACTAACAAATAAACTTGAATTGAATTGAATTAATTCAAATGAATGGTTTTATTCAAGTCGTCTGAAGAGACACAACCACTTTATATTGATGAACAGATTTCATTTAGGCTTAGATTCATGTATAAACTTTGAACAACCCACATACCAAACTGTGAATAGCTTATATATTTATATATATTGAGATATCTGTCTATTGTATATTCTTTCTATACTTTTACTACTGTATTGTATTTTATTTAATTTCTTTTAGGCCCTTTTTACACTAGTGCGTTTTCATTTTAAAACAGCGTTTTAAAATAAAAGCGATCCTCGTCTACACTGGTGTTTTCACTGCGTTTCAGAAACAATCTCCACACTACACAAATGAAAATGCATGTCACATGAGCATTAATGCATGTACAACTATGAGGAATCACGCCATCATTATCAAAAGTCTCCGTTTTGGTCTGTTTACACTGAAACACAACCCCAGAGTTTTTCAGCTAAAACGGGATCTCTGGCTTTTTTGAAAGTCTCCGTTTTTGAGGGTCGAAAATGCCGGAGTAGTGTAAACGACAGGCCTAACCATAGCAAAAGCTGCGTTTTAAAACGAAAATGCACTCATGTAAATGTTGCCTTAGTGTTATTATTATTGTGTTAGTATATCTACACTGTCTGTACTTTCTTCTGCACTACAAGACAAATTCCTTGAGTGTGTGAACAAACTCTTTCTGATCCTGATTCTGATTCCTAGAGCTCATCAGATATGGTCAACAGAAGCTCATTGGTTCTCGGGCGTCACATGGTTGAGATTCTGTGTTTAAAAATCAGCCATCAGGCATTATTAGGAAGGCCTATAGACTTTACATCATGTGACATTCATGCACACTTTTATAAAGTGACATACTGTACATCATTGAAAACATTTGATCAGTTCATGCGTTCCCTGCATAGTGAACCCACAACACTGTTGTTGTTAGTGTCATGATCTACTGTTCAAACTACAGGAATGCTAATGATGACTAATAAATGAACACTGTGTGACCAAGCTGATAAATGCAGACATCCACAGCAAACATGCATATGAAGTGCTGGAGACCTGCAGCATGACAGAGGATCAGCAATTCACACATACAGTTACACCTACTAGACTGACCGCTAATTAACATGTTAGGTCTGTTTGATTAGCCATGGATGACGACATTATTGAGCTTGTTCTGTTAGCGACAGCATTAGTCTGTTCCAGTGCAGTTTTGTACAGTAACTTGTAGCAGCAAGATTAGAGTTAAGGTTATGAGAAGAGAAGAAGAACAAAAGAGAAGCACAATGAGAGGAAGACAACTTAAAGGAATTAATATTAAATTAAACCCCCCCCTGCAATTTAACAACCTGAAATAACTGTTTTATTCCATTATTATTACTCAGTAAAATTTCAGGTTTTACTATCCTTGTGGGGACATTTGTTCCTTACAATGTAGCATAAACAAATACACACACACGCACACACACACAGGCATAAATAAAGCAACAGCATGTCAGTCAGAACTGCTAGAAGCCTCTGGAAACGGTTGTTATTCTGAATGTCATTCTTATGTGATTACACATTGCTGTCCTCACAAACGGACCACACAGAACAGCTAAATCCCCAAACCCTGACCATCACACGTGTGGCTCCTAACACACTTCTGCTGCTGAGAGCTCAAACTCAGCCTCTAACAGCACAGCATCGCACTGCTCGCTAATCATGATTAATATCGGAAATTACATCCAGTGTCGCCGACTGTTCCACACGCTCATTTTGCACATTTGGATTTAGCCTTTAAAATAATGGTTTAATTGGCTGATTGATCTCTCTTGTTGAGCGCCAGCTGCGACGACTGACGAGTAATCAATCAGCACGAGGCAAAACAATATTTAGTCTGCTTTTCTCTCCTCTTATCTTATTTTGTCTGAAAGACGTGAGAGTCTAATCGTCTGCGTTGATCAAATTACGCCGTGTTGTGGAATGAATAGAGAGCGAGGAAGCGTTTGTTGTTGAGAGCGTCCCTCGGCGCATGCAGATTTAATGAGTGTTTAGAGGAGGCTTCCAGGGAGCTGTTGGCAAATTACCTGCTCATTATACCGGGTCACTGCAAGTCATTTAAGTAAAGGTGAAAATTAAATGACCTTGACAACAGCTAAGAGCTAATTACAAACAAGAGCATTAAGGCAGTCTGACATCATTTGGCGTCTGAAGGGACTGTAATGTCTGACTGTGATCTCAGTCTCTACACTTTATACTGGACACAGAGTTCATTAAACAGATCTGCTCAGATATGAGGTCAAGAACTGCTTCATTCAGTCCTCAGTCTCCAGCAGACCGGCCCAACAACAGCTGCAAACCTCCATCCAACCATCACACACACACACACACACACACACACACAACACCCCCACACACACACACACCCACCACCACAACACACACACACACACACACACACACACACACACACACACACACACACACACACACACACACACACACAAACAAACACTCAAACACACACACACACCCTGACCTGTCTCACTACAGACTGAAGAACTGCTATTACAGTTTTTTGCAACTGCTTACACGTATTTTCAAAACTTTGCTTCTTTGAACTGCACACAAAAAATGCCTCACATCTCTAGCAAAATTAAGCACTGCATTCAAAATATCACAAACACATCTCAAAAGCAAACATTTGCAAACACCTTTGCCATAATATTAATTCCTGTTAGATTTTTGTCTGTTACGCAGAAAATTGTGTGTTGTGTTTTGCAAAAAGTGTTTTATGAAATTGAAGGGTTAGTCAAACGCTGAGTATTAGTGTATGGTTTTGCAGATTTGGTGTGTGCTTCTGCTGTTTGAGTGTCAGCTTTCAGAAACTGTGTGACAAGTAAAGTTCCCTTTCAGTCGGTCACTCTCGATGTCACGAATTTGGATCTCACTTAGAGAGACCAATCCACTTCGAGTGTAAACTAAAAAAGCCAATGTACATTGGCATGTGATTATTGCATCCAGCTGTCGCTGATCACAGCGCGAGTATAAGTAGACAGCTGGTGCAGCGCATATTCAGCTTTTTGCTTCGGAGCCGAACGGTCTCATTGTGCTTCTTGATCTTCTGCTTCAGTGAAACTACAAGTTCGAGTACAAGCACGCTCTTAGGAAGCTCTCGTGCTGGTGGTACGGTGCTTCAGCGGCGGTGGTTCTTCCTGTGTCGAGTGGGTTGCACACATCAAGCTTCACACATCAGCGTCGGGCTCGAGAGGAAACCTCCACCACATCCCGAACCCTCGAGGCTGGACGATTGGTTTCTCGGAGTGGCTCGTGCTGGTTCTCAGGGCCCCACTCCAGTGCCGTTCTTACCGGAGGTGCATGATGAGCTCACTGGGTCGTGGAAGGCACCTTTCACTGCCAGAAACCGCCCCAGTGGTTCATCCTGCCTCACCACCCTTGATGGTGGCACAGCACGGGGGTACACGGAAGGTTGCGATGCAATTGTGTCCAAATGCCACTACCAAAGGGCGGGGCAAGCCATTACTCCCCTCCCGGGCCTGTAGACACTCAACTGGGAAAAGAGCAAACTCTCCCCGACGCAGAGGATCGAACCGTCAGGCTCGGCTATGCGATTCAGTTCACCACCGCCCCAGTGGTTCATCCTCCCTCACCACCCTTGATGGCGGGGCAGCGCGGGGATATAAGGAAGTCCCTCCGGTGGAGCGGTCGGTTGCGATGCAATTGTGTCCAAATACCGCTGCCACCTGTCAGGGCAAGCCGTCGCTCCCCTCCCGGGCCTGTAGGTACTCGTTGGCCCTGACCGGCAGTGCTTATGTTGCCTGCAGAGAAGCTGCCTCTGCCCTACACGCCATGGCGTTGTTGCAGGTTCATCAGGCCAAGGCACTGAAGGACCTGCACGAGGGTGGTCACGACCCAGAAGTTGTCAAAGAACTCCGTACCGCTACTGATCTCGCACTACGAGCAACGAAGGTCACTGCGCGGACTCTGGGCCGTGCGATGTCCACTATGGTGGTCCAGGAGCGCCATCTCTGGCTGTGTCTGGCCAACATGCGCGAGACAGACACGACACAATTCTTGAACGCCCCCGTGTCCCAGACCGGCCTGTTCGGCGACGCAGTGGAGAACTTCGCCCAGCAGTTCTCCACTGCCCAGAAGCAGACTGAGGCCATTAGGCACATCCTGCCCCGGCGTGCAGCTGCTGCCGCCACCCAGCCGCCGGCGGCAGTGCCTCAGCCTGCTCATCGCCGAGGGCGGCCCCCTGCCGCCACCCCCGCTCCCGTGCAGCATACGCAGCAGCCTCCAGCAAAGCAGCATCGTGGAACCGGTCGCAGGGCAGCCGCCCTGCCCATCCAGGCCCCCGCCAAACCTGGCGGCAAGTGCAAGAGCACACTTTGATCTGGAAGTTTGAGGTTTGCACAAGTTGGTGTGTAGTTTTGAGGGTGTGTTTATAGTTGTGAGAAAATGGTGAATTGTGTGTTGGCAATCAAGAAAAACTGTAAAAAGCGCACTTGTTAAAAGTCTCACTTTAATACACTTAAGTGGTCTTTTATTTCATTAATATTATATCATCTGCAAGTACAGTATTTTAAATATATAATTGTAGCATTTGAAGTACACTACAAGTGCACATTCCATACAATTATGTGCACTTCTTTTTCACAAAAGACTACATAACATCAGTATATAATTTAGGAAAATATTTCTGTATTATAATGCCAAAATTTCACGCGTTACAGCTGAGAGTTAAATGAATGGTCGCGCCCTGCGCAGCGCTGGATGTTTGCTGGCGGTCGAGCTCGCTGTGTCTGTGGACTTCAACATTTAAACATTGGAAACTCTCTCTTTCCTCCGCCATCTCTGTGCCCTTCTTCACTTCTTCAGCCGGTCATTTTATCGCCCCAGCTCCACTCACATGACATCTGGCATTGGTTTATTTAACTAAAGACACTATATATGATTGACTATTTCCAGGAAAGGAAAATAACAATAAGCACACAGAACATAACTGCGTTGCATGTGCCCTGAACAGATGGTCCATCACAAACAGCCCGCACACTACTTTCCACCACAATTAATCGTAATAACAGAAATGCCTAAACACTCCTCGCCTCAGAGGCAGCGGTGCTTTTTTCCCATCATGCTTTCATGGCAGGGTTATGAATGAGGGCTGAACATTCGGCCTTGGGCACTCAGAAATGTTGCTCTCTGTCCGCCCGACATAAACGCTCAAAGTGACAAACGGCGGTAAGACAGGAATGCATGCATGTGCACAGGACTCCTCTGACCCCGGCCTCGCTTGCCTGACAGAGACGGAAAACCCTGAAGTGTGCCAGTCAACGCCACTTAATGAATCCTGAAATGCATCTTGGCACAGGATGCTGAATTTATTTATTGCTGTACAGTAACTGACAGTATATTCCAATGTGTGTTTACTGTATATTCAGTTGTTTGGTTTTTGAACTTTTCTCTTCTAGTGCTTTTCATCTACTGTAAGATCTCTTTACAGTAGTGTAGTGAAAGTAAACTTTTCTTACAGCTACAGATACAGCTGACTTTTACTGTATGTGCACCACTCTATTTATGCTGCGTACTAAAAGGAGGTTTTTGTAACAGTGTTTTGAATTGATCTCACTAGTGTCCTCCAATCAGTGTATTTGACAGGTTTGTGTGTCATCTGAGGCCAAAGATTAGATTCTGACAAGAGAATATGTTTTTGACTAAAATGTTTGACTTTGATCTGGACGTTTGAGGTTTGCACAAGTTAGTGTGTAGTTTTGAGGTTGTGAGAAAATGGTAAATTGTTTCATGAATTGTGTGTAAACTGTAAATGATCGTCTGCTCTCAGGGGTTTGTCTGTGTCAGAAGAGCGGCATAATGGACACGCTAGACGGTCTGAGGCGCTGTCACTGTCTGTGTGCTTGTTCTCTGAGCTGTAGTGAACTGCAAACATACATCTCACCGCTGTTAGCAATGATTGTTCACCTCCATATGAACTGGCAAATCGGCATATTTATCCTTGAGATCGGGGTGTATTTATAAATCTGCACAAACAGACGTGAAGCGCTGAGTGCCTTTACTCTGCCTTTGTGTGGAATTTAAAGCACAAAACAAGACATCTCTCAGCAGTCTGTCATTATACTGAGTGCACTTTTCCTAGTGCACTATTCTTTCGTGTTCAGGTGTGTTGTTGGAAAGTACAGGAATCATGCAGGGCATCGGGTTCAATCTTGCCTATTTCTTGAGAAAATCTTATTAAAGTCAAAATGCATTGAAGATGTTTTGTTAGTATCCTACAGATTTTGAATAAAATGTAGAGTTCCATTCGCTGACAGCCATATAAACAAATACAGCAGTCTGATGATTCTGAAAGTTTAATTAAATGCAGTTTATGTTGTGTAAAATACAATATGCATTGAAAGGCTTCTTATATGTAATATGTCAAAATTCAAGACTGTAACGACAATGACTGTTTTAAACAGCAAAACAAATAGAAGTCACTACAGCAATAGTGCTCTCCTCTGCCATGATTATGGCCGTCCAACGAGGAAACTTGCATCCAAACGATCTCAAGGTTTCCCAGTCTTAAAAGCAACTTGAGAGGCCGTTCATGTCCAATTTCTGACTCGGAAAATGATCATTCTGATAACATGTGAAGGCAGCATGAATATTCACACCTGATCATGTTTGCTGACCTCATTCTTGATTCTGCACTCAGAGTGTCATCTAGATGTGAGGAGGAAAAGCTCTTCTCAGCAGGTTTTTGTTTTTGGTCTGACCTTCTGTTGTTCTGAAACTGCATGCATGTTTATTGCAAACCTACATCTGAGAAGGGTTTGGTTTCTGGAAGCGTGGCATGTTTTATGCAAACACAACGATCTCTCAGGTGAGCCTCAGGATTCACTCACTCGTGAAGAATCTGCCTCATGATGTCAGAGTTTTTCCTCATGCCTGAAATAGAGCCGTGTGGTTTGCATGAGCTATGTATGTTGGATGCGTGACTCACATGAAGTTGACGCAGCCGGTGCCGGGTGGAGGAGCGATCCAGATGAAGCTGAGGCTGGTGGAGGGCAGGTGACTGACGTGAGACGCCACCACACTGCACACAAACTGAGTCCCGAACTGCCTGTCTGACATCACCCCTGACAAACACACACATGAAGACAACAGAGTTTGACATGTGAGCTCATTGTAACTATTTGTGGAAATCAACACAATACAAGCGGTTTGCCTGCAAGATGGAAACGAAGACGTTTTTGCTTGCAAGTTGTTTTCCAGAAGGTATTACATTTATATTGATATGTGGAAGCAAGAGGTCATGTTAGTCCCAGCTGGGAAATGTTGTGGAAATGAACTATTTTGAATGAAGAATTCTTTTTTTTTCTCCATTCAAATGTATGACGTATGATTGTGAAACAAATGCATAAATCCTGCTATTTTTTTTATTCCTTTTTTGAGCACCAAAATGTGACCTGAATAAAACAAAGTCAGTGGTGTGTTTGTGCTACGGTTCCTGTAACACTTCTTTCTGAAAATGCTAAAAAGAAAAACAGAACGTCAAAATACAATTAATGAGGAAAAGAGAACACACACACACTCACACACACATGTTGGGTTTCCGTGTTTTATCGGTTCATTCCATATTCATAATGGTTTTTCTACTGTACAGACTGTGTTTTCTATCCTCTTACCCTAAACCTCTCACACAAAACTACAGGCCGTTTTTACATTCTCTAAACACTTCATTCTGTATGGTTTATAAGCTGTTTTCCTCGTGCAGAGCAAACAAATGTCCCCACAAGGTTAAGGATTTTGGATATCGCCATCTTTATGAGGACATTTTTTCCTCATAATCTGACAGCAAAATTTAGACTTTTTGCATATCCAGTTATTATCCAGATGGGTTTCTGAACGTTTGAACAGCAAAGAAAAAAAAGAAAAAAAAAAATTCAAATCTGACTCAAACCACATGTGGAGATGGTTTAAAATGCGATTTGAATGCGATTTTTACAGATGCATCTCAGTCTGGAAGCTCATGGCTGCTCAAATTGGATTTCAAGTTGTCTTTTGTGTCACTCTTAACATGACACACAACGATCACGTCAAAACCGGTGATGGAAATGCTATAAGTATTCATACAGTATTCAAACATCACAATATTTCAATTTCAATTTCAAACACTTTATTTGTCGCCTAGGGGCATTTCACAAGGTCAAATAGAGTAAACAATACACATAAGAGACATCACACATGATGTGCACAATATACGTATTAATAATCTGCTACAGGCAGATACTTAAAAAATATGTCTAAACCATTTCTGAGTGCAATCCAAATACCAAATATATAGCCGTCTCCTCCATCACAGAGTTTTTCTTGTGCGACAGGGCACTTGTTTGGAGAGCGAGATGATGCACCTCCAGTATTCCTGCATCTGTTTTGAAAGCCTCGTCACATTTGTATGTGCAGATAAATGGTAAATGTTACTGCATTATTGCATAATAAATTATTCAGTTAAAATTGCTCTTCTAATTGTTGGTTTAAGTCACGATAGACAGAGGATAGAGAACAGGCAGGATATGTCTGTGGCTAATTATAGCTGCCAAAATCTCACAATTCTGTTTCTGTATTTGTTTCAGACCCAAACCACTGTCGTGAAAAACACCCCTGATTAAATGGCATTGAAAACCGAGCGATACTGTGGTCCTGAAAAACTCAGACGTCTGTATTTCTTCAGTTCTTGGTGTTTAGTGAGGATGAGCTCATGTCAGTGTTAACAGGCCTCCGGTGTGCTGATATCATCACTCACTCGAGGAGAAAACTGATTGTTTCCATTTCATTTATGATGTCCAGAGTAAACTTCTCGCACAGGACTGAAATAATGACACCAGTCAAAGCATAAACAATGTGTGCATTTCCTTTCACATGCAGATAGAAAACTAGAGAGCCGTGGGCCGTGATTAATGGTCGAGCGACCTGCGATCTCCCACGGCCACCCACACTTGAGCTGAATAAAGTCTTCTGCCCTCCCACTTCCCTGCCTTCACGTACACACACACACACACACACTCACACTCGCTCGCACACACACACACACTCGCACACACACACACACACACACACACACACACACTCCGTTCAATATCCTCGTCTGAGATTTTCACTCCAAATGGCCTCTAAAACGAGAGGAAAGATGATTTGGCGCACAACAGATGGGCACGGGGTGGCACAGACTGGCACACATGATGCTCACTGCTGCTCATTAAAATGCAGATTCATAATTTCAACTCAACACATATTAGTAGAATAAAGCAGTCTGATTCATTACTGTTAACCTCAGTGTTGCTATATAGCAGCTCAAATCTATGGTTTTGGCAACACGTAACGAGTCATTGACAAACGTTTTCGAAAATGTGAAAACTAAACTTGTGAACGTGCACTGATCTCTAAACGAAAGTGTTTGTTCCTATCAGTAATTAAATACATTATTTAGTGTTTTCAATAGAAGTGTTGACAGTCTGTTGACACTGAAGGTTTGTAGGATGTTTGGTCATCTATCAAGTGTCACTTCAAGAAAAGAGGCTTTCTTCTCTCCATCCTGAAACCTCCTGCGCCACCCATGCGCCTCGTCTCCGACTCTGAAGTGTATAGCTTCCACTCGCTCAGAACCGGCTCGTCATCCATCATGCAACAGCAGGGTATGAATATTTATTAATCAAACATACAGTATGTGAACGGGCGGGTTAGTGAGATCTAGACTTGTCTGGCCTTCTCAGGCCTTCCTAGAAAGACATACGAAGAACATGACGTCGTTGATATAGTGTTGCGTTATATGGAATCGCTGGCCAAAAGTCACTTTGTTCCCCTGAGAAACTGACCCGGGGTCAGAAACTGGAGGTCCAGAAGCTTCTCGATCACTTGGCAACCCTTCCTTGCTTTGCCATTGGTCCATTTCATAATCTGCCAATCATCCTACACTGCCATTGTCATGGCGATGACAGAAGTGCTCTTTGTGTTGCCAGGAAGAAGCTGTGTGCCCGACTCAGAGACGCAGGAGCCCGGGGCCGAGGGAGTGGGGGCCGACACAATGCAGAGAGGATTATTGGCCAGAAGACAATTCAGCCACCTGGGAGAATCTGTGTGTGTGTGTCTATAATCAGCAATCATATTTATTCACTGCTGCATACATGCACTGAACTACGGCTGAGGCCCTTTGCACTGCAGTTGTTTTGCTCTTGATCTTTTCACTTTCTGAATGTTGAACTGTGGACTTGGATCTGCACCAGCCGCCCAATGAGCCGTGATACCATAGAAATACAGCAGAAATGAGTGAAGGGTTTTCTGTGTTGGACTGGCCATCTGGAGCAGATCCCAGTGACTCTGAAAAAAAAAATCTACAGCATTCTGTTTGATACCAGTAGTGTAGTCTCTAACGTGACCTTCGCAATCATTAAGTATCGTTATCATTACTGTTACCACACACAAACATCTGCTGCAGCTGTGAGGTGACCTCTGACCCATGACCTTTAACCCCAACCAGTGCTGGGTCAATCATGATTTGTCTTTGCACCAAAAATGATGTTGTGATGCGTGTAGATCAATAGTTCATTATACCGCAGTTAATTCGGGTCATTTAATTTCATTTGCTGCTGTCTCGCATCCCATCATCCCATCGGTCTCTGTATCACAAAATAATCAGCCTTACTATGCCTTCAACACAAGTTACTCAAAATGTGTAAAAGCAACAACAGAGCCGAAATGGAAAATGACTAGCATCTTTTCCAGTCAAGGAACAAGTCGAGTCGCAAACCTTTGATAACGTGAAATCACATTTGTGGCTTAAGTCAAGTGGCTTTTAGACCTCCAAAGCAGAGTTGGTGTAAATTTCTTCTCTTCAGTAAAAATCTGTTTTGTTACTTTTTAAATGATGTGGAAACTTGGCTGGATACTTTGACTTCTAACTGATGACAGTAAGAAAAATACACTTACAGGTGATTCCAAAGCTCTTTGTTGTCTCGTCTCCCTTGAATCTCACTTTCTGTCCTCTCTTTCTCTCTTCAGCTGAAATGCCGTTACCTTTTGTCTGTCCATCCATATCCATGTCCATTCAGAAACTGTTTTGCAATGCTCAGAGCTGGATAGATTACTTACAAATTGTAGTTCGTTACTGATTCCAAATTACATGACAAATACTGTAGCTAGTAATATAATCCATTACATTACACATTTTAGGTAACATAATCAGACTATTTTTTGATTACTTTTAGATTACTTTTGACGTAACCCGTTTACAACATTGATTTAAATAGGATACTATTGTACCATATCGATATTAAAATGCAAAGAAAATATATTCCAGTCATTGTTATTAACAACATAAAGTGAATTAAGCATGACATTTTGTCAAGGTTTCCCAAACTGGGGTTTAGGAAGGAACTGCAGGGTGTTTGTGAGTTTAATGAAAAGCTAATAATTAATTAATTAAGTCATAAAAATGTAAAATAAAAAAAATCATTTTAATCAAAATAAAACACTTACTAAAAATGAAATATTGTGTTTACCTGGATGATATGTAGACGTTTTAGAAAGTACAATTTAAACGATGAAAAAGAATTAAGGAGAATCAATAAATTATGAATAATTTATTGCTATTGTGTGAATATATGTAACCCAAGTAATCAATAAAAAAGTAACTGTAGTCTGATTACAAGTATTTTAAAATGTAATCTAATTACAAATACTTAATTTTTGGAATCTGATTACGTAAACCAGATTACTTGTAACTACCCAGCACTGGCAATGCTTCTTTATCAGATTCATGTCTTCCACTGGTTTCCGCTCGCTTCTGCTCAGAATGGCTGTTTCGGTGACTTTCAGAAGGAATCGCGATCATAATAAAGTTGAGATGAAAGACAGGAGCAATGTCAAAAGTCAGCCGCGGCGCCAGAGGGCCTGTTCCGTCACGGACGCAGCTGAAGCTCTTTTGCCTCTCCTGGGAGGCATTAGCACTAATTTGAAGTTTAATTTGACGTGACTCCTCGGCTAATTGTGCGAGCTTGAAATGAATTAATCTGACTTGACTTGTGCTAATTTGCGACGGCTGCGACGCAGCGTTTCCTTCGGAGGCCGCAAACAAACAGGA